ATTGGTTTGGTCTAGTACGAATCTTTTCTTGTGGAGTTAGTTTCTGATTAGGGCTAATTCAGTTCTTTTCAGGATCCTTTCAGTGGCTGAGATTTTGGAATGAAATTTTAGTTGGAAGCAAGTGGGGATCACGTTTTTGTCTCGGCAGTTGCGTAGGAATGTGAGGTCACATAAGATGGTGGCTCTTCGGACTTCGAGTTTTTCGTAGGTCCTGGTGAGCAGGAAGATTTCCTCCCCATAGAGGTAAGATATTTGTTTTCTTAAATTTTCACGGGTATAGGTATGTAGGTCCATCGAAATAGAAAAACACCCCCACAATATGAATAAACATGATGATACATCCCACCTACCAGACATCTGGAAACTAGCCCTAATCAACAAACAAGTCCTAGCCACGAAAACTGACACCAGACCCAGAACAACACAGTACACCACCACCATTCACCCTCACCAGACCCAAACCCATGCCCAAACCCATCCCTCAGACGAAATGCAACCACCATCCAGAAGCCAAACCACGACAACATCACCAGCTGCTGCACCTCCCTCCGACCCCACACAAAGCAAACGGACACACGCCATGAACACAGAGCTAGACCGCAAACTCAGAGCCAAACCAAAGCCCAGTATGTTACTTCACAGCCTTCAGCCCTGGACATCACATCACAGAACAATGCCTAAGCTCAGGATGTTACAACACAGCCAACCACCCAAGGTGGTGCAACACAGAACTCAGGATATCACTACACTAGATCTCAGGATGTCATCACACAACCCATTACTCAGGTTGTTACAACACAAAAGACTAATGGGCACACAGCCAGCACCTCAACTACTCAGGATGTTACGAAACAGCCAAACAATCCACAAACAACTACACAGCCAACCAATCCACCTACAGCAACTAAGCCAGCACTCCACACACCCTCACCTATATATAGAGAGAGACAGTAGCTCCGATCACACTTTGCTCGCAGAAGCACGAAGCCAAAGACCCCAGCCTGAAGATGACAAGTGGGACCTCGTCGAAACGTCACCAAGATACTCTCAATCTTACAACAGTACAATAAGTATAAACAATACCTACTCAATACAAAATATCACTAAAATATCTGATAAATATGAGTGGGGTGGAGGGGAGGAATCTACTATTAGTCCATCAACCAACTCTAAGTTCCTTGCTGTTTTTATAGTTATGTTGCTCACTTGACATAGGCTACTAGTTTATATTTATACCCCTTTCTATCTTTGTATGCCATATAAAACCTGGTGATGAAGTATTGAGGTGATTCTTAATTACTGTAAACATGTAAAAAAATGATTGGTCCATTAGTGGGTGAAAGTAGCAAGAAGGTGACAAGCAACAGGGAGAAAGCAGAACTATTTAACTCATTTTTTGCATCTGTCTTTACACAAAGGGAAAAAACAGACCAACCTATCAAAAATAGTGCCATAAAAAAGAGAATAGAAACATAAGTTAAGATAGGCAAGAAAATGGTAAGTGAGCACCTATCCAGCCTAAACGAATTCAAATCACCAGGACCATATGGATTACATCCCAAGGTTCTCAAGGAACTGGCAGATGTGATCTCAGAACCACTAACTATATTTTTCAAAGATCCTAGAGTACTGGGGAACTACCAGAGGACTGGAAAAGAGCTGATGTAGTTCCCATCTTCAAAAAAGGGAAAAAAGTAGATACAGGATATTACAGACCTATCAGCCTGACCTCAATACCTGGGAAGATTCTGGAAAAGATAATCAAACAACGAATCAGCAAACAGGCTTAAGATACAGGAGAATCTGGACAGATTTGAACACTGGGTGTTATCTGACAAAATGAAATTCAGTGGTGAAAAAAACAAGGTTCTACATTTAGGCAAGAAAAACCAAATGCACAGGTACAGTATAGGGGGTACCTTGCTCAATAGTAGTAACTGTGACAGGGATCTCAGAGTCCTAGTGGACAATGACTTAAATATGAGCCAGCAGTGTGCTGCAGTTGCCAAAAAAGCCAACACAGTGCTAGGCTGCATTAACAGAGGGATAGAATCAAGATCACGTGAAGTATTAATACCACTTTACAATGCCTTGGTAAGGCCACACTTTAGTCACCACGATGTAAAAAAGATGTTGAGACTCTAGAAAGAGTACAGAGAAGAGCAACAAAGATGATTAGGGGACTGGAGGCTAAAACATATAAGGAACGGTTGCTGGAATTGGGTATGTCTAGTTTAACAAAGAGAAGGACGAGGGGGGACATGATAGCAGCATTCCAATATCTCAGGGGCTGCCACAACGAAGAGGGAGTCAAGCTATTTTCCAAAGCGCCTGAAGGCAGGACAAGAAGCAATGGATGGAAACTAATCAAGGAGAGAAGCAACCTAGAACTAAGGAGAAACTTCCTGACAGTTAGAACAATTAACCAGTGGAACACCCTGCCTCCAGAAGTTGTGAATGCTCCAACACTGGAACTTTTTAAGAAGAGACTGGACAGCCATTTGTCTAAAATGGTATAGGGTTTCCTGCCTGAGCAGAGGGTTGGACTAGATAACCTCCAAGGTCCCTTCCAACTTTATTATTAATGTTGTTATTTTCAGATAAGCATTTCCTGGCAAAGTCTTGCATGGTCAAATTTAAATAAATAATTCTTACCTTATGCGATTAATGTATATTTGTAATTACCTTGCACATAATCCATAAATAACTTAGACACCTGAACTCAAACTATAATTTGTGCAATTGTAATTTGACACAGTGTTCCTTAGAGGTTGTAATACGCACCACAGGCAGAGAGAGAGAGAGAGAGCTACCTACATAAAAAGCATTTCTTAGGGATTATGGAATGTATAAGTCAGTTTATATTTATATTAACTGCGTATAACAAATTTAATGCATAAATAAAACAATAGCAGATGGAATTGGGGTTAGAGATTTTGCAACTGGATAGTTGTGGTTTGCAGATTATGTCATCTTTGTTCATTTCAATGGTTTTTGTTTTCTTAATTTATTTGATAATACTTATGTAAAAAAATTCTACTTATTATTCAGACAGGTATCTGTAATTTAAAGAAAGTTATGAAAATTGTATGACATATAAACTATAGCTAAATCAAATTTTATTGTAGTAGACATATGATTTTTCTTGTTTCTGATGAAAGGTGAACATGCACAAGGTGTTATGTTCGGTCAGTGACATGCAAGTTTGAAGAACAAATGCAAATTTTAAAAAATAGTTATATGGCAGCATCTAATAAAATCAACAAAATCTGGATCTAGGAAAAATCAAAGTCAGGTAGAAATGGTTCTCCAATCTTAAATTTCAATGTTTAGTAAAAGAAATGGGATTGGAAAATATGAGAGTCTTGAAATAGGGTCTCTTTATGGGTGCTTGTTTAAAGATATGACTTGGTGCCAGAAATATTCAGGTTGCAGCTCATATTTTACCTAAAGTTAAATAACTTCTGTTTCTTTTTAAGAAAAACTCATTTTATGATGAACTTCTATCCCGGAATTGAACTTGAAACTAGAATTCTTTGCCTAATGTCCCCCAGAGTTTTTGACAAGGAGGTTGAAATACATAAACCTGATAGAATGTAAAAAAAATATTGTCTACACAAATGAGTAATGGTTCAAAAAGCCACTAACAAGTTGAGTCAGTGTTGGGAATTTGATTGCATTTGTCAATATTAAAGAAAAGTAAATTTGGGCTTGTTGAAAAACAAGCCTTCGTAACATGGAACCTTATGTTCCTTTATGTTTTATTATGTTTGAAACAAAATGATTAAGTAATGCTTAAGGGATGCTATGCTTTATACATAGATATCTATATCCTGATATTTGGAAACATTCTCAAGGAGAAAGGATTCTCAAATCTTTGTAATATTCTACTGTAATAACGAAGAGGCTAGAGAATGTTGGCATTATTTTGAGACAAAGCTTTTTCTACTGCCAGTTTCCCATAGCAAACTTGCACAATACCTGGAGATTATCAAGTGTTTGGATTCATTCCACTTTCTGTTGATTTGTGTGCTTTTATAAAACATGCCTTAAAAGTAGGAGACCTTTCCATTCCTGCTTTTGCATTTTTGCATCAGTTCAGCATATTTTGTAAAAAATGTGTCCAGATAAATTGTGAAATGAGTTTTAAAGGTCTTAAAGCCCTACCCTAGTTATAATTTGTTTAAAAATCTATTTTTTCCTTAATTGAATATATAAATATATCTTAGTAACAGATGTTTGGTGTTAAATTTAACAATGGACAACATTATGTTTTCAGTTATTGTTTGTTTCTTGAAAGAAATTGGTTGTACAATATTTAAATTTTGTTCTCCATTATAACCTACGCTACAAACAATTGTATAATGGCACCAATACTATGATTATTTTATTCATTAATAATAAATAATTTCTTGACATAAAAAATGGGAGCCTACTATGGTTTTATATGAAAGATAAAATAAGATTAACTTCAAATGGAAAGGTTTTATGTCACAGGGTAATGGGATATGACCCCCTTCAAGGAACTCTAGTCAAGCATTTTTATGTATTTTGTACATATTTTCATGATTCAATTTTTTTCATATCTATAAACTTAATAATATTCTTAAAGAGTATATATCACTTTTTACTCAAGCACAATTTAACTTTTTAAACCTTAGAAAATCTGGTTTGTTTCCTGATATTTATATTAAACATAGCTTACATACTGGTGGTGAAGAAATAAAATCTTTGTAATATGTACTTGGTTTCCTGTATTTAAAACCTGAATAGAAGTAATTCAGAAAAGGCTGTGATAATGCTGCTTATGAAAATTAGGCTTGAAGCTAAAAACTAAAATAAATAAAGTCCAATATTTTAAGTTTCTTCTATATGATGTACTTTCTAAACATAATATTGCTGCCCTGTACAGTTTGATGTCATCTCAAAAAAAAAAATCTAACATGTTCTTTGTTCATTTAGTCATTGCAGTTTGTTAACATTTCTGTTTCCTTTTTCAGCTGATGAAGGGATGATGAAGGAACTTGATAAAGTTCAGGTTCTCCATAAGAGATCGGTTATGCCTTACAGGGTGTATAAGAGAAATCGAAAAGGACCAAGTGATGAAGAAACTGTACAGCAATATGCCGCTCTCGTGGGACAGGCATGCTTGGAGAGGATGTTGCTTTTTCGGAGCTGAATATTTATTCTGTAGATCAGGGGTCCTCAAATTTGGTAACTTTAAGGCTGTGGACTTCAACTCCCAAAGGTGGCTGAGGAATTCTGGGAGTTGAAGTCCACAAGTCTTAAATTTGCCAAGGTTGGAGACCCCTGCTGTAGATGTTCCAGAACGATGTTTTGTCACACCACTGCAAGATTCCATATCTCTGCAGTTTTCTGTTGTTATCCGTATTAAAAAAAATATGTACTGTGTATCCTTTTCTGCCTGGGAATGAACATGTTGACAAACCTTAGAATAAAACATTGGTTTTGAGTCTTTATATTAAGGGTTTGGAAGAATATTACAGTGACTGAGTTCATGAGATTAAAGTCCTTACATTTTCAAATAAGTGAATGGGATGAGTATAAAAGTGAGTGGAACATTTGAAGTAGCATTTTGTAGGTATTTACAGAAGAGAATATTTAAAATCAGCTAGGTGATGAAATATAAGTTGTTGTGAAAACTATAAATATTTCAGAAATTTTATATTTTCTTTAACTACTATCAGATAATTAAATATTTTGTTCTAGTGTTATTTCAGAATTCAGTTAGTCAGATACTTGGAAGTAAGCCAATGTTTTGCACTATGCTTCAGTGTCAAAAACCAGCCACTGACTAGTAGAATTGGTGCCTAGGATTGCTATTATATCAGAGGTTCCCAACCTTTTGGGCATCAGGGACCAGTTCCACCGAGAGAGGTTTTTCCGCGGACCGGAGGGTGCGTGGTTTTGTGTGCTGCCTGCATCCCACAGATGGGGCTTTGCTTGTCTGTGCGGACTGGTTGCTGGCATGCTGCGGCCCAGTACCAGTCCATGGACCAGGGGTTGAGGACCTCTGTATTATATGACATAATATAAAGCCATCTAATGTGTATCTATGCACTGCATCCTTCAAATTATTCACTGCAGTCTTTTAAATGTTTGCTTTAAATAACTTATAATTGTATTGAAATAACCAGGAAGTTTGATGATTTAGATTTTTAGTGGCGTTTTTTTTTTGTTTTTTTTTTTTGTAATTAAATTGACACTTTGGGAAATGTTGGAATTGAAATGTTTATCAAATTACCAAAGAAATTAATTTAAATATGTAGATTAAAACTATATTGAAGTACATCCCATTTTTCTTTTGTTTTATATTCTTAATGTTTATGTCAATTGTAGCATTCAGAGAATTAGTTTTCAACACACCATTAAAAATACCTTACTTGACATAGAACAATGTTTTAATTGGGTATTCAGAACTTTTAATGCTATCCTGTAATTTAAGCTGGAAAATACAAGGCTATGAAATGCAACATTCTGCAGTCAGTTGATATTTTTCAGGCAACTTTGATTAGTCTTTCTCTCATTGTCTAATACAGCAGGATAGCAGAACATAAAAATCCTGTTATGCATCTAGATTTTGGGGTGAAATAATAGTATGCATGGAAATAGCATTTGTTCAGAAATTCTTATATGCATGCAGTAGTGCATATTGTATGTTCATTGAAATGCATACATGTTTAGTTAAATATGCTGATATGTTGTCAGTGTTGTAGTTTTGACATTATCAGCCATTGTTAAGGGGGGGGGGATCACAAATTTTCTTAATTAGTTCTTAATTTTACTCCTGCATCCACACTTGTTTGGCATGACCATTAAACATAGTACCAGCCAGTAACAGTGTGATCCATGAAAATATGGATGTCCTATACAATTATTCTTTCCTTTGAAAATAACATTTCTTTTTTTCTACATAGTTATTTTTATATGTGCAGATTTTACCCAGAATGAATTCCTTTTTATCAGAATGATATTTCTGAGCAATATTTCTTATAATTATTTTGAACGCTTTTCAGTTGTAGCTAAAATAAGATTTTTTAAAAAGTTGGGTCAGACTTAGTCATATGTAGAATAAATTCACTGAAATCAATGCAACATTAATCCCATTGCAGTTTTATTTATACATCACACAATGCAATCTGATAGTATTTGTTCTAGCAGTTTAAATAACATCCTAAACATAAAATATAGGAAGTAAAATACATAGTATTAAGTCCTTAAAGTAGTAACTTCCCCTGGATTAATTTTGCATGGATTTCCTACTCAGAATTTCTAATTGGAAGATTGGCTGTATCTTTATTTGTCCTCAAACAACCAAAGGACCCATGCTTTGGAGAAATTATATAATTACAGTTAGATTGTGTGTTCATTGGCTAGTATTTTTTATCCAATAAAAATAATTAATATTTGATTGCCACTAGGGGGCACATTCCAACTTGAAAATCATTAATGAACTGTTTGTCATTTCAACAATATTCATTATTATTCTACATCTGGTTTCCCTATAGTTTTTTTTTTAAAAAAAAAAATCCTGGAAATCCTGATAAAGAAACTATTATTAGAGTCAACATGTAGTCATAAAATAGTGAAGAGTCAGTAGAATAAAAATATATAATTGATATAAAAACTAAACATTATTTTGTTTAAAACAAAACAACAAAAATATTTGAGCCACCAAAAGAACATTGAATAAAACATGTCAATGTATCTAGGATTCAATGAATATAGTACTTCCATTCTCTTGCTTTGTGTGAGCTTGTTCATTCAAGTATTTGAATTTTGTGCCACAGTAGTTCCCATTGATAAAAAGGAAAGCTGGTTATTTTTTTGCGACATCTCTCTTCTGGTATTAAAGAAATAACACTGAAATGGAAAAAGTATTCTCAGTAGTATCTTTATAAACAGAGATTATACATTAATGTGGTGTTTTGGGTCATTGTTGGTAAATTGGAATTGCTTCTGTAAACATGGAGTGGTGATTTTAAAAACTGCTCCTTACTTATAGGAGAGATTCATGCTGGCTGGGGGTGATAGAAGCTAGTTATAAAGCCATAATAAAGAACAGAATAGTTCTGTTCCAATCCCCAAATAAATAGGCCTGAGGGATTATTTCCACCATTAAGCTGCTGACAACACATACATTTACATCTTGTATTATTTGGAAACTAAAATGAAATAAAGAACTGCTTAATAAACAGGAGTATGTTGGACTGGAGCCAGAATATCTGAAAGACTGCTAATTCTTGTATGAGCCGGCTTGTAAAGTATGTAACACAGGATTATGATTATTCTACTATGAAACTCTTTCTCAAGAAAAAAGTCAGACTTCCTTTTTCCAATATGTTGTAGATTTTTATTAGTTGGTGAGGTACTTTAATTATTACTGTTCCGTGTTTTAATTAAAGTTTTATTTCACTTTAAGTTTATTATATTACTTAAAACTGTGTGAGAGCATGTGTGTTTATGTGAATAGATAGTATGTGGTTGAGGGCCAGTTTAAACAAAATCTATTTTTATCGAACGTTAACAAAAGATACAGGACCTGTCAAGACATTTAAAGAGAAGCTATTTATTTTTACTTCACTTGAACAGAAAGATGAGAACTGTCAGCTAAGTAGTAATTCAATATATAAGGTCACCAATAAATGTTATTTTCCAAAAAGGTGGACAATTAGAAATATCATTTGTGTTTCGTCATTTCCATTAATGTTTTTCAAACAAGATAGGTTACACATTACCCATTAATCAAAGCTATTGCTCAAGTTGCAGTATAACCTTTGTCCATTCTTGCTCTTAAACAGAAAGCTACCCAGTAGACTCAGTTTTTTCGTGAAATTCCAAATATTAAGAAGCCATCAATTTGAAATTTTTGCATAAGCGTTTAATGTGGGCAGCTGTTGATTATGACTAGCATCATTTTCAAATAGGTAAACCTCGAGAGTGAGGATGCCTCAGTATTTTAAAGAAGGTTGCTTCCTTCAATGCACAACACGCCTTTGAATTCTTTGCCCAATCCTATTTCATGATTTTGTTATAGGTTATGAAAAGTAGTATTTTATTATAACTGGGACAGATAAGAAACTTTTAAAGCCAAGTAAATATAACTGCTTTACATTTTTTCTTAATCCTTTCCCTAAAACGTCTTATTTGTTTGAAGAACTGTGAGTGTAAAACAAGATTCAATAATAAAATATTCCTTATGTACAGTACTAATAGAGCAAAACAAGAAATGAAAAAGAAAAAGATCAAACAGCTCAGTGAGAATTGAGCAAATGCTAACAATTATGGTAGGCCTACAACAAACAAGGCATATGCTATAATAATTCCTGAGAGCACCCTTTCCAAACATTATGTTTACAAAAATCAAGCATTTTTAAAAAGAAACCTTATAGGAGAATTAGGAAAAATTATGAATTAGTAAAATTAAAAAAGGATTCTCAATCACCTTCTGTGATACTGAATCAAAAACCTGAAGTATTGGGGGAATTTTGCTATTTTTCCTGTGTGATATTATGAATCCTACATTTCCAAAAATAAGATCCTTATGTGAATTATTTTGATGTTCAGGAATAAATAATAATACTTTAAAATAAAGGATGCAGCTTCATATGAGAAAGAATGGAATATCTGGGGCCTGGTGATATTAAAACTGGTGGGCACATTATAATGTTTTATGGCATTTGACCGTGTAATATACATAACAAGACTGATTCCTGTTTTGAAATTATTTTAACATAACTGTCATCACTGTATGAAATAACATATGGTAGAAAAAGCAGAGAAGCAATAGTAAGAACAAATGTATCTTGCAGTAGACTTGTAACTTGTAAGGAATTTGTTAGAAGCTTTTGCAGGTAAAAGGACATTGCAAATTATTTAACAAGAAAAGGATGTCATCTCATTTGTGTCAGATGAAAAATGGGGCATCGGGTGCTGCTATTTATTGTTCATGCTCTAGAGTTAACTGATCTGTCATATCTTATAATTAAAAATCTATTCCTTATCAGAATTCATACTAAGAAAGGTGAATGATCACTGTAATATGATGAAAAAGAATCACCACCCTCTGTTCTGCAGTCTTGAATTTGCATTCTGCAATTCTATGCCATCAATGATTGAAGTCCCCTTCAGGTATTGAACAGGTAAAAGGTTTTTACTGGGGAGAAAGACTATTCCAGAATAAGAACAAGCATTTTATGTCCATCTACAATCCCTGTGCTTATTGCTTATTTTGCACACATAACAAACAACTGAAACTGAGAGACTCTGTCTCTGGAAACTCAGCAAAAGCAAATTTTGTTATTTAAAAACAAACTGTTGGAATCTAAATCTTTCTCTTTACAGGACCAAAGTATTCATGCAATGGTACTTCATAGCATTTCTTGTCTAGATGCCTTTCTTTTTCTATATTTATAGTCCCAGACCAATAAAACAGAGTTATAAAAATTAAAATTACAGAAAAGCCAAAATACACCAAAGCCAAAATGAAGACAATACAGACTCCTTTCTCCATGCCATAGCTATTGATAAAAACACGGGAAAAACACCCTATTAAGACCTAGGAAGTTTGCTAATATGCAAGTAAAGATTAAAGGTAAATATAATAGAGACTCCATCAAGACATTGAAACCTCTAAAATGTTTCTATAAATAAGGAGCATCTATTTGTCTGGTGTAAGGAGAGAAAGCCAAGCATAAACACAAACTGTCATATTTTAGTGTTTAGGTTTCATAAGAACACGTTTTCATCTATCATTTGGCAATGTTGAAGTCTTTGCTTGAGTTTGGAAGACAAGCTAGGAAATGCAGTGTTTAATTTATTTTAATGTAGATTTTTTTTAAAAAAAAATCTTAGATTCCTCAGTGGGCAGATATAATTTTAGATGGGATTCTGTTAGAGAATTTTAATTTTTCTATTGGTGAAAAATAAATCAGAAGCTCTCACAGTTGACTGCATTTAGCTGATTCAAATAACTTTATATTTATATAAAGTTATTTACAATACCATTCTTCTTTACAACAACATAGCTTAATGAAGATTTCTTACAGAGACAGACCAGAGACAAAACCCAGAGACTGGAAATCCAGCTCCTAACTCAATACTCTTTTTGCACAGACTCAGTAGCACTTTCTTCACATTGGCTGACTGAGTTGCCACATGACTCTTCCTGTTCATGAATATTCCAACACTCCTCCCTTCATGACAGGAAGAGACATCAGACCTATTAATACATTCTTTAATTGCAAAAAACCTTGTGCCACTAACCTGACCTTATACTGTACATTATTATTTGGCAATACCTTTTTCTTATATACCCACTTACAACCCACAGCTTTGGTTCCCTGTGGCAAGGTCACTGATTTAAACTGGCTTGCATAGGTCCCACCAGATCTGCATGGACCAGCTCTAGAACTCTTTTTGTTTGTCTTGTGCTACATTTACTAACTGGTAATGCCTTTGACTTTGATGCTTTGCATACTGCACAGTCCAAATATGTTTTGCATCCCTTCAAATTTAGCCCTTCTGCAAAATCTTGCATTTGCTGCAAAACTTTAAAGCTTGCATGGCCAAGTATTCTATGCAGAAGATGAACACATGAATCATGCTCTGCAACATTCTTAAATATATGGGAACATTGAACCTTTTGTCCCTGCAATACATATAGATTATCTCCCTTTATGCCTTCTGCACAAATATTCCCATTCCTTTTGATGAGACATTTCCCATTTACAAAAATGACCTCAAAACCTTGTTTGTCTAAATTAGACACACTTAACAAATTATGTTCTATCTCAGGTACACAAAGCACATTGGTAAACTTTGATTCCAAATATGGAATTTTTACATCGCCTTTTCCAATGACTTTTGCTTTCTGGCCATTTGCCAAAGCCACAGCTTCTTGTGCTACTGGAACAAACCTGCAAAATAATTCAGAGTCATTAACAATTGTTTGACTTGCCCCACTATCTATTAGCCACTTGTCTCTGTTGTTGCTATAGCAAACTTTTGCAATACCAAAATGTTCCTTTTGCAAAGCAGTCCTTTTTCCTTGCACAAATGTCTTTTTCTGCAAATTGTTCCTCTACAAACAGTTCCTTTGCAAATGTGTGCTTGCTCCACAAATGTAGCAAGTCTTTTCCCGCCAAGCAGCTCTCTGCTTGCAAAATCTCTCCTTTGTTGCAATTTGGTCTGGGTCTGATCTGCTTGTTTCTTCTCCTCTGGAGACTTGCAGTCTGGACCCCCTCCTCAGGAATTTCTCCTCGTGGTTGCTTCTAAAATGGCGTTTTCCCTCTTCATTAAGCAAACATGCCTTTAAAGCCTCAAACTTTAAGTCTTGTTCTTCTTTGCACTCAAATATTGCAGAAACTGTGTCCCAGGTTTTATCTAAACTGTTCAACACCAATAAAACCTTCTGGGACTCAGGGAATTTAATCTCAAGTCCAAAAATAAACTTTGCATTTTATTTAAATGCTGTTCCACAGATTCACCTGGTTGCAAACAGGCTCTGTAAAGTTTTCTTGACAATTGCACTATATTGCATGCAGAAACATTCAGGTGCACAGCTCTCAACTTCAACCAAATCTCCTTTGCAGTCTTTAAATTTGTAACATTTAGAAATTGATCATCATCTAAATTCAAGATGAGATAAGCCATTGCTCTATCATGGCTTTTCTGATCTGCAGCTGCAAATACTTGTGGTGGATTTTCAACAGTATACTACACCTCTTTTGCTTTCAGCAAACATTCCATTTTTGCAGCCCACACAATGTAATTCTTCTGGCCCAAACGAGGCACACACCTTTCTTTAAATTCCATTGCAGCCATTTTGCTAATTCTGCCTTGTTCTTAAACTTTCTAAACACAGGCAATTTCTTCCAGCTTTAAATTATAATGCAGTCCTTAGTAAGCTCTGGGCCCATAACCTGTTAGAGAATTTTAATTTCTCTATTGGTGAAAAATAAATCAGAAGCTCTCACAGTTGACTGCATTTAGCTGATTCAAATAACTTTATATTTATATAAAGTTATTTACAATACCATTCTTCTTTACAGCAACATAGCTTAATGAAGACTTCTTACAGAGACAGACCAGAGACAAAACCCAGAGACTGGAAATCCAGCTCCTAACTCAATACTCTTTTTGCACAGACTCAGTAGCACTTTCTTCACATTGGCTGACTGAGTTGCCACATGACTCTTCCTGTTCATGAATATTCCAACAGATTCTTCATCTTCCATTTCTCCTTATTTATAGAGGAAGTACTCCTCAACTTACAACCACCATTGAGTCCAAAATTTCTGTTGTTAAGTGAGGTATTTGTTAAGTGAGTTTTGCCCCATTTTACAATCTTTCTTGTCACGGTTGTTAAGTGTATCACTGCAGCTGTTAAGTTAGTAACCTGGTTGTTAAGTGAGTCTGATTTTCCCATTGACTGCTTGTCAGAAGGTCACAAAAGGGATCATGTGAGCCTGGGACACCGCAACTGTCATAAATATGAACCGGTTACCAAGCATCCAAATTTTGATCATGTGACTATGTTGCAATGGCCATATGTGTGAAAAATGGTCATAAGTCACTTTTTTCAATGCTCTTGTAATTTCGAACAGTCATTAAATGAACTGATGTCAATCGAGGATTATCTATGTATAGTAATCTTATAGATGAATTACAAAATCAA